CTTCAAGGTGCTGGTTTTGACCTTTAAAGCCCTATATGGTCAGGGACCTGCCTACCAGAGAGCACTGAGGTCAGAGCTACAGAATCGCCTGACTCTTCCTGGCCTGAGAGACACCAAGTTGGTGGCCACTAGAGCCAGGGCCTTTTCGGCGGCGGCCCCACGCTGGTGGAACGAGCTCCCAGGTAACCTCAGGGCCCTGCGGGACCTTGTACAGTTCCGCAGGGCCTGTAAAATGGAGCTCTTCCACCAGGCCTTCGATTAAGAGCCGCCGCTGATGAGCGGGCCACTGGCAAATGTGCCACTGACCAATGCGCCACCGGAGTACATTTCGGCCTGCACAAAACACCGACTGGTTATTGCCTTTGTTTGCATATTATACACCGCCGCCATCTTTATCACGGATACTGTTTTGTTGCTTAGGCCTTCTTGTACATTTCATTGTGTTTTAATGTATTTATTGTTTGAGTGCAGTAGCATTGTTAGCCGCCTTGAGCCAGTTCTGTGGCAAGGTGGGATAAAAATGGAAACAAATAAATAAAGGCCCCGTCAGACGTACTGGAAAATGTGGGGGGGGGGAGCGCAGCTTTTTGCACCATCGCATTCTGTTGCGCCACTATGCGATCAGACGCACCGCGGCGGCAAAGAGGACGACAGGGGAGAAAGCCGCTCGCCGGAGCAAAGAGGACGACAGGGGAGAAAGCCGCTCGCCGGAGCGATCACACCCAGGGAGTCCACATGCAGCCCGTGGCAAACCATTTGCCAGTAGGTCGTCCCAGGTACTTTTTTAATGAGCATCTTCGGCGCAACGCCACGGGTGCGCTACGCCTCCCAGATCTTCCGGTTTGATCGTGCCCGGAAAATCTGCAGGACTATTGTGTCTTCAGCGCAGCAAATGCTCCGTGTGAACGGGGCCAAATAAAACTAAATTACGCAACAGGATCGGAGGAGCCTGGTATTTTTTTGCTGTCTGTGCGGCTGCTGTTTGCCACCGGGCCCCAGGTGGGCCAAAGCAGCTGGCTTTTTGCCTCGCCCGGCCCCTGCTTAGCATCCTCCTCCTCCTCCTCCTCTCCCTTCAGACTCTGGGGCTGCAGCTGCTGGTGCCACCAGGTGCCCCTTGCTGCCCATTGGAGGGATCCCCGTCCAATCCCAGCCCAGGAGAAATCTGAACCAGGAAAGCAGCGCCGGCCAGAACCAATTGGAGAGGTGAACATAGAGGAGGAGGCAGGGGATGGGGCTGGAGGGAGGCCGGCGGCTGGGCATGCCCTCAGCCCCACGGAGGCCCAGGCAGCACTGCGGGCTCCTCTCCCCCCCCGGAGATGCTCCTGCATCCTCCATCTCACAGCCCCCCTCCGCCCCAGAGCTGCTGCTGCTGCTGCTGAAGCCGGTGGGGAGCCAGAGAAGAAAGAAGCCAGGCTGGCTCCAGGCGTGGACAGAGGTGGTCCTGTCCCAGGGGAGACACTGCCTGGATCCAGAGGATGAGCCAGAAGCCAACGTGCAGCTGGATGCGTGCTCAGGTAAGGCAGGGTTGAGCCCAGCTGCAGGTGGGGCCGGGCAGCAGTCGGAGAGAGGCGTGCCGGAGTTTAGACTCGGAGCCCGTTTTGCAAGGCTGCAACAGGGAAGAAGGTAGTGTGCCTCTGGGCATGCATAGCGTGGCGTTCCTTGGCCTCAGCCCAGCCCACCCACAGATGGGCACAGATGGGAATCGCGGGGAGCCCATCTGGGTCTCAAAGTGCTCAGGCTCAGACTCTAACAAGGGCTGCATATTTTGAAAGTGAAGCCTACTAAACTATAGGGAATTAACACGGTAGCTTTGCTTCTCTATCCCTTACTGCCTTTCCAAGGTGGATTTCTTGCACACGGGGACTGACACAACAGCCGGCCAATAATCAGCCTAAATGAACTGGCAGCATCCGATATGCTTACAACACCCTCTGACTAATGGAAATATTTTTTTACACAGACAGTGATTAAAAACATGGAATTCCCTGCCAGAGGATGTAGTGATGGCCACAAGCATAGACGCCTTTAAAAGGGGTTTAGAAAGATTCAAGTCTATCAGTGGCTTCTAGCCATAGTGACTAAAGGGAACCTCTGCAATCAGTGGCTCTAATCCTCTGAATCCCAGAGCCAAGAGGCAACAGCAGGGGAGGGCCTTGGCCTCCATGCCCTGGTGCTGGCCCTCCAGTGGAACTGGCTGGCCCCTGTGTGAGACGGGAGGCTGGACGAGATGGACCCTCCCTGGTCTGACCCAGCAGGGCTCTTCTGATGCTCTTATCAAGGGAAGGCCTCGGCCTCTCTGCCCTATTGCTGGCCCTCCAGAGGAACAGCCTGGCCCCTGTGTCCACCTTCCAGAGTAGCCGTTTTACATTGCATTATTAACATTCCATGTTTCATAAGTTAACAGAAAACAGATCAGCCAATATCATAATGCCCCTCTATAAATCAATGGTGCGACCTCATTTGGAATACTGCGTGCAGTTCTGGTCACCACACCTTAAAAAGGATATTATAGCTTTGGGAAAAGTGCAGAAAAGGGCAACTCGAATGATAAAAGGGTTCGAACACTTTCCCTATGAGGAAAGGTTAAGGCGCTTAGGGCTCTTTTAGCTTGGAGAAACGACGACTGAGGGGTGACATGATCGAGGTTTACAAGATTATGCATGGGACAGAGCAGGTCGAGAAAGAGGTACTTTTCTCCCTTTCTCACGATACAAGAACTCAAGAGGGCACTCCATGAAATTGCTGAGCGGTCGGGTTAGAATGGATCAAAGGAAGTCCTTCTTCACCCAAAGAGTGATTCACACATGGAATTCACTGCCACAGGAAGTGGTGGCGGCTACAAGCACGGACGGCTTCAAGAGGGAATTGGATAAACATATGGAGCAGAGGTTCATCAGTGGCTACTAGCCACAAGGTATAGATAGGGACTCTGGGGCAAGGGATGCTCTGTCTTCTTGGTGCTTGGGGGGAGTCAACAGTGGGAGGGCTTCTAATGTCCTAGCCCCACCGGTGGACCTCCTGATGGCCCCTGGTATTTCTAGCCACTGTGTGACAGAGCGTTGGACTGGAGGGGCCATTGGCCAGATCCAACATTGGCGTCTCTTATGTTCCTATGTTAAGAGCTGAGGTCCATCAGTGGCTCTTAGCCACGAGGTATAGATAGGAACTCTCAGTCTGGGGCAAGTGATGCAATGTATTCTTGGTGCTTGGGGGGGGGGAGACAGTGGGAGGGCTTCTAGTGTCCTGGCTCCACTGGTGGACCTCCTGATGGCACTGGTATTTCTGGCCACTGTGTGACACAGAGTGTTGGACTGGAGGGGCCACTGGCCTGATCCAACACTGGTGTCTCTTATGTTCTTAAAAGTGCAATAAACGTTGGTAACATTTGTTTTATTTTCTCAGGAGAGGACCATCCTCCAAAAAGGGTGAAGGCGGAGAAGGGACCGGAAATGCAGGGAGCTGGTAGCAGAGCTTTGCCGGGAAAAGCCGCTGAGAACGGGCTCCATCGCCCTGTGCCGGGGAAGAAACTCCCGGAGCCTGAGGAGGCAGGCAGGGAAGAGGGGCTGCTGATGGGCCGCAAGGCAGGATCCGGCCTCAGCACACCTGTCTTTGGGGCCTGCAGACCCCCGGTGGGAGAGATGCCCCACTGGTGCCTGGAGTGCGGAAAGAATTTCGGTCAAAAGGCAGACTTGGAAAAGCACCTGGCGAACCACGCCGGGCAGTGTTCGTACATCTGCAGTGACTGCGGCAGGAGCTTTACCGAACACCTGGCCCTCCCCACCTGTCGGGGAGCGTGCCCGGTGGGGAGTTCCTTCGGCCACGTCGGCTGCCGGAGGAAGAGCTTGCCTCCGCCGAGTGAGGCCGTCGCGCACCGGAAAGAGCGGAAGGAGCTCTCCCTGCAGGAAAAGGTCCAGGTGCTGGAGGTGCTGGAAGGGCCCAAGGTCTCCCAGAGCGAGCTGGCCAAAAGGTTCGGAGTCTCCCAGCCCCAGATCTGCCGCATCATCAAGAACAAAGAGCGGATCCTGGCGGAGTGGTGTAAAAATGGCAACCCGGGACGCAAGCGCAAGCTGGAACAGAAGGGGGCGGCCGGTGAGGCGGCCCTCCTGCAGTGGTTTGAGCAGAGTTGCACACCCAGCCTCCCCACCAATGGGACACAGCTCCAAGACAAGGCCAAGGCCCTCTCTGGGACACTAGGGAGACCGGAGCTGCACGGTTGGCTGGCTGGGTTCAAGTCGAGGCAGAGAACCGCCCGAGAAAGGCCCCGCACGGAGAAACAGAACGGGGAGCTACCGGAAGAGGAGCCCTGGGAAACCACAGTCCTGCCCGGTCTCCTCCGTCAATACGATCCTTCCGACATCTACGCCTGTGGTGAAGTCGGCCTCTTGTTCCAGGCGACCCCAGAAGATCTGGCGACGGAGCACAGACCGGGCGCCAAGGACCAGCTCACCATCTTGCTCTGCACCAACTTAGATGTGTCGGATAAAAGGGGCCCCCTGATCATTGGCAAAGGGCCGATTCCGTTTTGCTTCCGGGGGTCTGGCGCGGAGGAGCCACCCGTAACATACAGAGCCCACCACAGGGCTTGGATGACGACGGCCGTCTTCTCCGAGTGGCTCCGGAAACTCAACGAAGACATGAAACGCAAGCAGAGGAGTGTGGTGCTCTTCTTGGTCCCGTCCGCCGCCCACCCCTCCGTGGAGCTCTCGAACATCCGGATGGTCTTCCTGCCGCTGCAGCCCGCCTGGATCCGTCCTCTGGAGCAAGGGATTATCCAGAACTTTAAGGGCCACTACCGGCGGAGGATGCTCACCCGACTGATCGCCAGGCTCGACAGCAAAGCTTCCAGCTCTCCAGACGCACCGTCCAAGCACCTGACCCTTTTGGACGCCGTCCACATGGTACTCCAAGCCTGGTCCGAGGTCTGTCCACAGACAGTGACCGACAGCTTCAGAGCCGCTGGCTTCGGCGTGAGCCCTCGCATCCCGGCTCCTCCCGGGGACGTGGTCCGAGCCCTCGGGTTCCTGAACCGAGAGCAGTTTGAGCGCTTTGTCCTGGTCGATGAAGGCCTGGAGTGTTCTGGGGGGCAGGGCGGTGCGGAGGTGGCGGGAGGGGACCAGCGGTGCGAAGACCCGGTCTGTGTGACGGCGGAGGAGGAGGAGGAAGAAAGGGCCGAGGACCCGGCTGCGCTCCCCTGCCCCTCAAAGGCGGAAGTCCTGGAGAGTTTGGCCAAGCTGCGGCGCTATTTTGAGTGCCACGCGGCCCCACCAGCCGCGTTCCAGACGTTCTACAAGCTAGAGGACGTGGTTCACGGGATGTCTCTGGCCGATAGGCAAGCTTCAAGGGCCAGGACCCTTAACAAAGAGTGACCCAGAGCCAAAAACGTGAAAGGGAGTTCTTTGGGTGGTCCTATGAATCCACAGAGGACTTCAGGGTCATCGGCTGCATTTTACGGGTGCAGGGGTTATAGTCTTGGGATTCATGCTGGGAACAGGCCATGAAGGCCTCTAGGAAAAAGGGGCCGGGGCTTGGGCAGGCTAGACGGGGCCTTTGTACAAAGAGCCCATCCTGCTAACCAAGAAAGTCACCTGACTGGAACGGGAGAGTGGTGGGGGGCTTTCTGGGGCTCTCGTGAGGTTCCCGAGAGGCTTTGCCGGCTCTGTTTACTTTCCTCATCTGCCGCCTTTCTCCCCAGTGGGGGACCCAAACCAGCTTCTGTGTTTCTCCTCTTCTCTGTTTTATCCTCACAACAACCCTGTGAGGAAGGCTAGGCTGAGAGCATGTGACTGGCCCGAGGTCACCCAGCGAGCTTTTGCGGTGCAAGTGGGGATTCAAACCTGGGTCTCACCGATCCCGGTCCAACGCTCTAGCCTCTACACCAAGCTGGTTAGGGGGACACCTTCTTGTAGCTGGGAGGCATCGTGGGCGCGTGGCCTGAGGAGAGGCGATAGGTGGGCCTTGAGAGCCAGTTTGGTGCAGTGGTTTGACTCTAATCTGGGAGAACCGGGTTTGATTCCCCACTCCTCCACATGAAGCCAGCTGGGTGACCTTGGGTCGGTCACAAGTTCTCTCAGAGCTGTTCTATCAAGGGCTGTCCTCGAAAGAGCTCTCTCAGCCCCGCCTACCTCACAGGGTGTCTGCTGTGGGGAGGGGAAGGGAAAGGAGTTTGTCAGCCGCTCTGAGACTCCCTTGGGTGGTGAAGGGCCATGGGGTATAAATCCAATCTCCTCCTCCTCCTCTTCTTCTTCTTCTCTGCCCCAGCCTTGATGCTTCTCTCCACCCTAGCATCTGGGGTGGGGGAGACAAAGGAAGGGAGGGTTTGGGGAGGGGAGGGTCCTCAGGGGGGTACGATGTCACGGAGTCCACCTTCCTGAGCAGAAAATAAGTATAAAAACAACAGTTGTGAGAGTCTGACCCACAAATCGAGCAGTCACCCAGACTTGCAAAGGAAAAGCTTCCTATGTATTGCACTCTAAAGCACTACCAACATCATTAATAAATCATAATATTATAGTACAATAGCTCTCTGTATTCATGAAGTGCTTGACGACAAGTCATAAGGAATGCCACATTCAGATAGGATGCTGATCTCAAGAAATGTTCAGGCTCAAATATGCTGCTAAGCTTCTAAATGGGAGACGCCCGGGATCCATTTAGAAGCTTAGCAACATATTTGAGCCTGAACATTTATACTATCTGAATGTAGTATTTCTTACGACTTGTTGCCAAGCCCTTCATGAATACAGAGAGCTTTTGTACGACTCTAATATCTCCTGAGGAAGATCCAATTTTGAAACGTTGTTATACAAACCGGAGATGACTCTGGTGATGTACATACTATGCACAAGGATTTTCTTATGATTTACTAATGACGTTGTAGTGCTTTAGAGTGTAATACATAGGAAGCTTTTCCTTTGCACGTCTCGGTGACGGCTTGATTTGTGGGCCAGACTCCCACGACTGTTGTCTTTATACTTATTTTCTGATTGGGTCGTGTTTGTCCATATTCACCTTCCTAAGCAGCCATTTTCTCCAGGGGAACCGATTTTGGTCGTCTGGAGATCAGTCGAAATCCTAGGCGATCTCCTGCCACAACCTGGAAGTTGGCACCCCCAGGTGGGAATGGCACAATGGCGTCACCATCCCCTCGGCCTGTGACCCATTCTGGGCTCAAGGGGGAGTCTGGGGTGGGGAGGCTCAGGTGTCGTTCCCCCCCCCCCAAGAACTGAGAGAGGATCCTGGCAGTTTGTGGGGTGCTGAGGAAATCAGGAGAGGCAGGCGAACCAGCAGGGGAAGCAGGAGGGCCAGAGGTTCCTCATGGGCCAAGGCTGAGTGGAGGCCGTGTGAAGCCTGAAAAGCCTGGCTTCGGCTTTCCTCTCCTTCTCCTCCTTTTGCCCAGCAAGGCCAGAGGTCAGTATCCGGTCTTCCCAGGCAGAAAGAAGAGACTGGATTTATACCCCATGGCCCTTCACTACCCAAGGGAGTCTCAGAGCGGCTTACAAACTCCTTTCCCTTCCACTCCCCACAACAGACACCCTGTGAGGCAGAAGCTTGGTAAAAAAACTGTTTTTTCCCCAGTTTTGTTTTTGGGGGAAAACGGAAATTTTCGGGAAAATGGAAAAAAATGCTACATTAGCACTTCTTTTGTCTTTTCTAGATTGAAAGTCATTCTGTTACTTTAGGAACATAAAATATGACTATGGGCATTTTTACTTGGCATGAAATTATCACAACTAGCATATTAAAAATATAGTGTATCCAAAAAGTTATTACAAACAGAATGCCCACCCACATGCAAAAACAAAACTGAAACCTTTTTCTTGTGACAATAGCAGCTCCTAAAGGAAGGAATGCATCTTGTTCTTGCATTGGAGAGTTCAGTTTGTAACCTAGGACTTGCTTGTCCTCAGTGCACAGAAATTAGATCAATCTGATACCATATATATATATACACACATACATATATATACACATACATATATATACACATACATATATATAAGAAATGATTTGGAAAATATTTGAACACCTTGTCTTAAAATATTTTATTCCTCATGTTAAAATAAAACGTTCCATAATCAATTTTTTTCTTTTCTTTTTTCTTCTTCAATTTTTCCAATTTTTTGGAAAAAAACAAAAAAGGCTACAGGGGAAAAACGGGAAAAAACCGGTTTTTTTCGCGAATTTTTCCATTTTTTTTTCCGGGCCTTCACATCTCTAGGCAGCTGGGGCTGAGAGAGCTCTGACAGAAACGGCTCTTTTTCAGGAACACCTCTGAGAGAACTTGTGACTGATCCAAGGTCATCCAGCAGGTGCAAGTGAAGGAGAAGTGGGGAATCAAACCCGGTTCTCCCAGATTAGAGTCCGCACACTTCACCACTGCACCAAACTGGCTCTCAAGCCAGAGTTTCATGCCCAGAGTTGGTCACTCAGGCTTTGCATAGATAGTGACAGGCTTGTAGCCAGGATTTTGTGGCTTGTGGGAAAAATATTTTTCTGGTGGAGCTGAAGTTCTCAGTGCAGAAAGAAAAGCCATTTAGCAAATAAAAGGCTGTTGCCAGGATACATCTCTAAATTGCAAGCTGTCAGCCACTTTAGATGATAGTTCTCAGCTGCTGCAAGTTAATACCTTCTGCCAGCCTAAGCAACCATTCTGATAACAAGTCGGCAGGTGGGGGGGATGACGTCTATAGCCAAGAAAGCTAACCTTAGGCAGAAAAGACCAGTTTCTTGACACAGAGTTAGAAGGGGTCCTAGAGGTCACCTACTCCAACCCCCTTGCTCTGTGTGGGAATTAGTCAACTACAGCACCCCACTCTGCTTAAAGGAGTACATGCCTTTAAAATGTTTTAAAATGACTAAAACAGAATTTACATGAGAAATTCTTGTGGGGCTGTGCTTTTAAGAAAGAGGGCAAAGCCCCCAAAAGCCCCACTGTAGCTACGGGCCTGGATTGTGTGAGCGCCTGGGCAGGGATCAGTCTTCCATTTTCTTCTGTGACTATTAAGGTTTTGCTCACCTGGATGCCAGATTCTCAGGATCAGTGTTCCCTCTAAGCTGAGTTAGTGTGAGCCAGCTCAGTTTTTTAGCCTCCAGCTCACACATTTTTGTCTCGGCTTAGGAAGGAGGGCTCCAGAGCAAGCTAATGTATGCAGTAGCCAAATCACCTGCTCACAACTTCAATGCCAGTAGCGCACATAGTAGAATTTTTGCTCACAAGACTCCATAGCTTAGAGGGAGCATTGCTCAGGATCCAACAAACTGTGGAGAAAAAGATTTAGAGTATCTGTTGATGAGTTGTGGCCAAAAGTACCAGGTGCCATCAGGAGGTCCAGCAGTGGGGCCAGGGCACTAGAAGCCCTCCCACTGTTGCCCCCCCCAAGCACCAAGAATACGGAGCATCCCTTGCCCCAGACCGAGAGTTCCTATCTATACCTTGTGACTAATGGCCACTGATGGACCTCTGCTCCAGATGTTTATTCAGTTCCCTCTTGAAGCCGTCCATGCTTGTAGCCGCCGCCACCTCCTGTGGCAGTGAATTCCATGTGTTCATCACTCTTTGGGTGAAGAAGTCCTTCCTTTTATCTCTTCTAACCCAACCGCTCAGCAATTTCATGGAGTGCCCCACGAGTTCTTGTCTTGTGAGAAAGGGAGAAAAGTACTTCTTTCTCTGCCTGCTCCATCCCATACATTATCTTATAAACCTCGATCATGTCAGCTTCACATCTGGTGAGACAGACTGGGCAGACTCATTTCTCTCAGGAGCGAGGAAATTGATTGGTGTCAAAATGAAGGAAGAGACATTTATGATGTGGTGCATTTCACTGCACACAAAAAAATGTAGCGATTAAAAAAAAACTTATTCTAATACCTGTTGAGGAGTGTAAGGAAACTGGTACCAGGGTTCATTGACGGTGGAGCTGGCCAACCGTGAAACAGGTCCAACGATAAAGTTTGGATCCAGCGGGGCACCTTTAAGGCCAACAAAGCTTTATTCAAGGTGTGAGCTTTCGTGTGCGAAAGCTCACACCTTGAATAAAACTTTGTTGGTCTTAAAGGTGCCACTGGGGACTCAAACTTTGGTTTGCTGCTTCAGACCAACATGGCTGACCCCATCTGAATCACACTACACCACAAACTGTGGAAGATAATTGTTCAGAAGGGCATTCTTGTAGAAGAAGAAGAGGAGGAGGAGGAGATTGGATTTATACCCCACCCTTCACTACCCGAAGGTGTCTCAGAGCGTCTTACAAACTCTTCTTCCCTTCCCCTCCCCACAACAGACACCCTGTGAGGTGGGTGGGGCTGAGAGAACTCTGACACAAAGGGCTCTTTTGGGAACAGCTGTGCCAGAGCTTGTGATTGACCC